GGGGGGGGGGGGTCCCTAAGAACATGGATACCTTTCTACTATGTCAGAATGTTTTTTTGTACGCTGGGTTGTCCAACGTCCTCGGTGTCCGTTAATTTCATGATCTTCGTTTTCGATGGCATTGCGTCAGGACTGTAATGTGTAGCACGCTGTAAACTTGAGCATGCTTGACGAAACTTGAAGTGTCTAACAACAATAAATACGGGAGTTCGGGACGCTCGAGATCGAGCAAGCAATATGTAAGTCACGGGGACGTATCACTCACTGGACAGGCTTGATGAGAGGAAGAAAGTCCGCGGAAATAGGGACAGAAATACGGGTTCAACAACATCATGATGGGAGATCGAGCGAGATGTAAGTTACCACGACGGGCTAGTAAAATGGACGGAAAAAAGGACAGAGAGGGAGGGACGAGGGTTTGCGGAAAAAAGGGACAGAAGGGACAAAAGGGTCAGCGGGAAGATTAACAGGAGAGAGGAACAAGCCGACGTGCAGACGGACCTCTCTTATTGGCGGGCGGGCATGTTTAGTTGCGAAGCTGAGGAGAGCTTGTGCCTGCATTAAACTTTCTCTCTTTTCTCTCCTCACTTCGCTGTTCTCTCTCCAAATCTGTCTTCGGAGCGTGTGCCTGCACCAACGACGTCTTCACTCCTCTTTCCTGACTTTGCTACTCTCTCTCTGTCTACGTATCGTATCTAGAGACCGGTTTACTTCTTTGATTGAAAGTGCAGTGATGTACAGAGAGGGAGGACGATMATAATTATAGAGGGTCATCTCTCATTTTGATGGGCGTTTAGTTCTGCGGGGAACATGGAGATGTAACAGTTGTGAGTGCACGTTTTCTTGAAGACGTGCCGAGTCGTCTTTCATGATTGAAGACGAGCATGTAGAGTGTCGTTAAACTTTGCTGGAATAGAGTCTTCAAAAAAAGATCTGCAGACTTGTGCCCAGCAGTCGACGCTGTCTGAAGTGTCCTCTTGTACTATGTATATATGTACTCTCTCTCTGTGATAGTGAAGCCGCGGGTACATCGTTGATCATCTTGGTGGGAATCCTAATCCTGACTTTGCTTCTCTGTCCCTTGTCTTCGGATCGTGTGCCTAGACGGGCTCGTCTCTTTCAACGTCCAGTGGTTGGCAGGAAGGGTGTCCTTTGTCCTTTCTTGCTTTTCGTTATGGTGGAACGTTTCACCTTGCATGCCTGCCTGTCGACCTTTTGGCGGTGGGGGGGAGGGCAGGGGGGGGTTGCTAATGTTTCTCTGAATCGCTCTGTGGCATGTGTAGTCGTTTCTGTCCAACGATTTGAGTATGGACCTGCACATTCTGATTGTGCCTCCGTTGCTGTGGCGATCGGCCAAGATTCTGAATGCATGTGGACAGTACGATTTCCAGATGCGTGCAAATGGTAAGCGGTTTGTGCGGGGGGGGGTTATGAGGCCGTTGATGTGCTTGATAAGTCATCCTTGCGAAGGGGCTGTGCTAACGTTCTCTGGGCATCAGGACGTCGTTCCATCTATCCATCTAAACAGAATCACGTGGTCTGCGGTCGTGGCATGCTATTTCTTTGAGGCCGTACTCACACTGGGGCCTGTTTCTGCAGAGATGTGGATGCATGTATCCATATTCATCCGCTGCTGGCCGAAATAGCGGTCAGATGTGAGTAAGCCTGGCTATGTTGTGGGAAATAGCGGTCAGTTTGATACGTGCTACTGTCATTATACCTGCATTCGGGGAGACTTTTGGTCGACTATACGTGGACAAAGACGATTCGTTCTATTCGGGGGAAGACGGTAGACAGCGGCGGCTCTTCGCTTTATGGAAGTATCATGCTGGGCATTGCAGATCGATCTGGATGGCACATATTGGAGTGTGTAAGATTACGTTATTATCTCAGTCGTTTTTTCAGTGTCTTACTTTCTCCTCTTTTTTTCCACTTGTTTTCCGCTTTTTATGGCTCTGTATGTCCCGCTCATGGGCTATTTTCCCACACACACGCACACACACACCCACACACACAGAGACAATCTTACACACACAGATACATACCTATGTGGACTTGGTGATGCTAAGCGGACAGGCTGCAGAAGCCCCAGTTTCCCTCCTTGGGGAAAGAAGAGTCTTAGACAGAGCCCGTGAGAGAGAAGGTACCCGGGAAAGAGACAATTACTACACAATTGAAAACCACTCAGCATCTTTTTTTATTCCTTTGTTTTTTGTCGGAGACGTACCCTTGTTGAAGGCCACTATCCCAGGGGTGGTGATAGAATCCCCAGGATTGAGGCCTTACCTCTGGGGCGGCTCCGATCTATCGATAGGGAGTGCAGCACCTGTTGCAAATCGGGTCCAGCGTCCTTTACGAGAACAATAAAATTGTGTTAATTAATGCAGGAAGCACTGGACCTGGTTTCCTTCCCACCCACTCCAGCAGGTCTACCCATCGACGTCCCTCCCGCGGGCGGCGGGCTTATCACCCACTCACCCCAGGAACCCCTGTTGCTGCAGTTACCCACAGTTTGTATCCTGTGTCTTACCCCCCAACTCACCTCCCCGGGTTCTGCACCCGCTACCTCCCTGCTTCCTCCCCACCCTTAACCCTGGCCTTTTCCCCCTTTTCTCCATCCCTCGCCTCCCCACCCTACCTAATTTCGGTGGTTGAAGG